ATAATCGTAAGCAATTTAGTCCGGCAATTTCCGCTGCATCCAATATACTGCGACGTTGAAAATCGGTGAACCATCCAGGCACAGAGATTACCACATCCGAGACTGGGATCTTTAACTCAACTGATGTGATCTCCTTAAGTTTGGTGAAATACATGGCAAGCAACTGGGTGCTAGTAAAAACACGTGTTTCACCAAGGTATTGTACCTATTGATTTTTTGATTTTGTTATTGATGTGTCTCGATCTTTGCAATAAAATCTGATGAGATCCCATCCGAATTTTTCCTCATACCTTAACACCGATTTGTCCTTTCTCATCCACTAGCTCGGCATTGATGTACTCTTTCTCTATTTCCTGGATTTCTCTATCCTGGAACATACGCCCTACCAGTCTTTTCAATGATCCAACGGTATTTTTGAAGTTGGAAATTTCCTGAGTTTTCGCAGCCTCTCCTAGATATCTTTGCTTGGGACCAAAGGAAACCAGGGAACTAGGAAAATAAAGAAAAATTGGTGGTTGATCGGTTAGCAAATCATTATATGAATGATTGAATCTCGAAAAAAATCCTATTCTCAAATAGCTAACTTACGGTGTCGCACGATTAGATACTTCATTACATATAACATCAATGCCGCGATTTCGGGCAACAGCAATAACCGATTGCAAGTTACCCAAATCCAACCCTTTTTTTTTGTTTTTATTTCAGTCAAAAAATGGCGATTTCAGCCTTAACAATTTCAAAGGAATTACGAAAGTAACCCAGAAAAAAAGACAACCACGAACCTACGACAGACATATTGAAAGGTTGCTTGACAGATTTGTTGTTAGTCTAAAAAAACCAAACGAGGAGGAGGAAGAGTATGGAATTTCACGCAGAGGTTTCAGATATCAAAGTTGAATGTCTTTAAGCCAGTAGCATGAGAAAAAAGAAAATTTTATTTTTCGTTCCAAGCATCAACGGATTTCAGAAATTATTGTGCAGCCGGTTGGCCAAATAGCCAATCAGTGATTGCGTATGATGAAAGATCGTGAAGGATCTAGATATTCCAGCGAATTCTACGGGTTTCGATGCTGGTGGTGGCGTATACATATACATGTCGAGATGTTTTTTCGTTATGGACATGCAAGTCCCCAAGTCTCGATGTATAGGATACTGCATGGGGTAAATCAAACGTCAAAGTTTTTTTGTTGACTCATGTGAATTTCCTTATTTAGATTTTATACACCCAAGTTATGCAACAATGCAAAAAAAAAGTTAATGGTTCTCCGATATTATCAAAAGTTAGCGCGGATCACTTTCTAAGCAACCCCATTCACTATTCGTTCCCATTTCGCTCATCCATTGAGGGAACATTTCACCTGAAACGCCGTTTTGATGTAGATATAACAGTAAGAAAAAGAGAAAAGCTCGAGTTAAACAGCATGCTATCAAGTTAAAAGTGTCATTATTAAATGTGACATCAAAATCTGCAGGGATTTGAACATAATAACGAGATGACCTCGACCAAGCGTTCAGCAATCAATATTCACAAGGTCAATCGCTGCCTGCTGTTGTTGTGCATCAACAATGTCTAAAAGAGTAACAAAAATGTCCATGTACGATGGCAACCATCGTGTTTATATCATGAAATTTGCTTACCTCAAAGACCGCAACGATCATTGTGGATCAAAGGATGTGAATCTCATGTCAGAATTTATGACACGAGTCATCAAGACAATTTGCCATCACGAACTGTATGTTTGGTTTTTGGAGTCTTTCCAAACAGGGTCTAATATGGTAGTCCATGTTGTATATTTGGATCATTCTGATATTGAATGGCCATGTGGGCTGAAGTTTATGAAACGAGCGTAGTTTTTTTAGACTTGGGAGATTACGAAACGAGCACATGGTTTTGTAAACTTGAATGTTGATTTTCGTTGCATGTCGTTTTCAAACAAATAAAATAGCAGCATCTATTTGAAACAAGCGCTGTAATCTATTTCAACTTTGAGTTCATTCAACTTATGATAATATGAAGTCTCGATAGACTTTAATGCTTTTGTCAATGTGGTATGCCTTTCTTTGCTTGATACGCATTTATGTGTTTGATGATATTTCCAAGGAATTCGTTTGCACATACAAAAAGTACCTTGTTCCATGGTGAGTTGGATACCATACAAATTGATCGAAAGTGATGCCCGATTAA